AAAAATACATGGTACATGAAAAGATATGGATCTCAAGAAGAGATCGTACCCACAAAGGCTACAATCCCCATTTATATGAATATAATTCTCTAAGGAGAATCCGGTACAGGAAAGTGAAATAGTGAGCTCTTGATTGATTATGAAGAAATATGGGGACCACTAAAGATGTTATCGAATAACTATATGTACAATTATTTTTATAATGTGAAGAGTTTGAAGCTCATACATTTTGATAGATGTCGACATCTAATTGGTCATTAGTATATGCATTCACAAATGCAATTGACCATGATTATTTGAAATTATTGATGAAATGAATTGTACATTGACTTGCTATCATCACACATAAAGTTGTGAAAGCCTTTAGTACAAAAGTGGGTAAAATCATTGCGGTAAATTTGAATGCCTTTGAAAATATATTTTTATGATGCAATCACTTTATGATGGTATTCAAAATTATTTGGCATGCACCATATGGATGCAATTACCGCATATTTATATGGATCATAACTTTTTATTTCAAAGAATTGGAAATGCTTGAAGCATATAATAAGAGGTCTCATGAGTTAGACCCTACGAATGATCCATTTACATATTCAAGAATATGGTATTGTCACCTTAGTTAATACATTGTTTACAAAAGGAATAATCTAATAAATTGATTTCCATTATCATTTGGGGGGAATTAAATCTTGTGGAGACTCATGAAGAGCTCACAAAGATCATCAATTCTTTGATGAAAGAATTCGAAGTGAAAATATCCTGTGAGGATATATTTTGCCTTGATCTGCAGATCGAGCATTTGGCGAATGAAATATTTATCCATTATTTGTTTATATATATGATAAAGCTCATTCATTGAGTAAACATATGATTGTCCGTTCTTTGGACATAAGAAATATATTCCCATCCTTCGTCGAGAAGATAATGAAGACCTTGGTCTTAATATATGAGGATAATGTTGTCGGCTTACACTAACGAGAGTTTGGCTATATCAAGGGAGGTGGCCGAAAAATTATTGAAGATTTCTAAAGTACCCGAGAGTTAAAGAAGAAAGACGACATTGACAGTTATTGATGACAATCAAATAACGAGTTTGCAAATCCATACGTCGGCGATCTTACTCCAATGTCTCATACTGAAATCAGGGGGAGCGTGATCAACAATTTCAGCACTGTACTCTTTTTCCTTCGTCCAAGTTTTTATCCTAATGGGTTTTTCTTGGCAAGGTTTTAACAAGGCAGTGTTACGCTCTCAAGATTTAAATGGATATGTACTCTTTTCTCCTTCGTTTAGGTTTTGTCCCATTGGGTTTTCCTAACAAGGTTTTTAACGAGGCATACTCCATATATGGTGGACATCCAAGGGGGAGTGTTATGAATTCTTAAGTGTGGATGACCACCATTACTACCATCATCAAGCACCATTACTTGTACTATATATAGTGCTCTATTGTATTGAGTTTGACACACAAGAAGAACAAGAGAATAATATACTTTTTTCTCTCTATATTACTATATCAATTTATCTTTGCTTTGTTCTTCTTTATTAGTTTCTCAACAAAATTCACTATAAACTTACCAAAAAGCACTATGTCATTATAGTATTCCGTTACGAAAATCCATTATAAACTTATCCAAAATCTCTATGTAATTAACAAAAACAACTATGTAATTTATGAAAACCACTCTGTAAATTCACGAAATCACTATATAATTAGCAAATTCAATTAATTTTTTTTTTACTAAAACGACTATGCGTGCAAAAACCACTCTTACATTTATCTTTGAAATCCGGCATTGTGTCAAAACCTCTCTGTAATTTGAAAGGATCGATCGACTAGATGCTAAAAACCACATAACAATGGGGGAGAAAAACCATGTGCATTCATATTAACATTATTTCGAACGGTGATAAAACCACGGCTATTATGCATTTACACAGTTTGCATAAAAAGTTTGAAAACCACTCTGTATTTTCTTAAGACGAACTTCCTGCTCATGCAATCAGATAGGTATTAATGTGAAAAAAATACCAACTACGTTGAAACGGTTCTCTATAATTAAGGGACGAAAATCGTGGTATTATTTAAGGAAGTGTTGTTACGATATAATAGGAAAAGATATACAGATAATTTAATTACTGTAGAAAAAGGATGAAAGAAGAAGAAGATGAACTGGAAATGGAAGCTGAGAGAGAGTTTAAACAATTGAATCATAAAAATCGAAGAAATCTTCTCTGACGGCGAACAAAGGAAAATACATTGAGAGCAAGAAAATTCAAAATTATCTGAATTCAATTTAATGGAATAACAAGATGAAATTCCTCTATATTAATCCAGTATATACTATATACCATTTAAATTTCGGGTGAAAAAATAAACCAAAATATTTCAATAACCAAATCTTGCTCAGGTACTCTAAGAGGGTAAAAGAAACCCGATCTCCATATACCTAATCGAGATTCTTCTTGTAAGAACGCCATCAGAGATTGAAGAAGCGGGAGGTCTCGAGGAGGAGGGCGGAGATGGTCTGGTCGTTCGGTGGGGCAATGAGGGTGTGGGCGTGAGTTCAGAGTTATGGAGAGAAGGGATAGAGAAGATAAATGAATGAGACAGTTATGGGATAGATAGTTGTGTTTAGATTAAAGAAATTGAGAAAGGGTAAAATAAGTTATTAATAATATAATTTACTTAATAAAATACAATTGGATTTATCGAAAAAATGGGGAAAAGAAGGATCTAGTCTAATGATACAATGCATATGAGGGAGTTTTCACTCATAACCCCATATATATATATATATATATATATATATATATATATATATATATATATATATATATATATATATATATATATATATATATATATATATATATATATATATATATATATATATATATATATATATATATATATATATATATATATATATATATACCATATATATATATATATTTTTATATATATATATATCTAACATATATATATATATATATATATATATATATATATATATATATATATATATATATATATATATATATATATATATATATATATATATATATATATATATATATATAATATTTTTCATTAATTTACTAGGCTTTTTGTTCAATAACTTAATTTTTAGTTTTTTTTTTCAATTTTATTTGGTCCAACGATAATTAGATGTTATGTTATTAAATATGTATCCAACACAAGATAACATTGTTAAATTTTAAATTTCGTATTTTTTAAAAGATAATCTTAATTGTATAATTTATCTTTAGTTATTCCATCCAATAAAAGAGAAAATTGAAGGTACTAAAATTTAAAATACAAATTAAATGGTGATTGAGGAGTAAGTGTTACAAATGATACTTTAAAGGGATAAGTGTTACATATGGTATATTTTAGGAGTATAAAGTGTATTTAACCCATAATAATAACATAGTTTGCATTCACCTTCGTAATTACTTTAAGGGTGTAAAGTGAATTACTTTAAAGGTGTAAAGTGTATTTAACCCACAATAATACATATTTTGCATTCACCTTCATAATTATCAAATGCAATTTTAATATTACAATCTTTGTTCACGCATCTGCATATAATGTTTGCTATTTTCAAGTACCTTTTTGTTTGACTAATTCATGTGCTGTGTACTTATATATTGTATTTTTATTTGCAGTTTGCATTTTCCAAGTCTTGTACCAACTTGTATAAGTTGTTTGTTTTTTGATTTTTGCAATAACATATTTTGGATAATTTCTTATTTCTGAATTATTTGCTCTTCCAACGGCCAAAGTCAAAAAAAGTGCAAAAGTCACCGAATGACTGTTCAACATCATTTAAAAGGTAGAAAAAGAATATCAACTCCGACTGTAGTCAAGGCCCAATTGTTACATAAAGAAAAACCAATTCCACAATTTCGTTCAAACTAGGGAAAGCATCAGTCTCCAACCAAACTTATATGTGTCACGATGACTATTGACGAACCATATGTAAACATTGCTTCAAAAGCACTTATAATTTTTTAAACTGGGAGGGGTGGATTTTTTATAATTTTCAAACTTAGATCAAACGGTGTTAAGGTCAAAGGTCTGAAAACTAACGACGAGGGCCACATTGAGATAATTTTTCAAGTACAGGGGGGCAAATCGATGCAATTGAGAGTAGAAGGGGGTAAAGTGATATCGAGCCAAAGTATAAGGGGGCAAATCGATGGATTGAGAGTAGAAGGGGGTAAAGTGATATCGAACCAAAGTACAAGGGGGCAAATCGATGCAATTGAAAGTACAAGGGGGTAAAGTGATATCCAGCCAAAGTACAAGGAGGTAAAGTGAAATTGACCCATAACTTAACTATTAGTTTTTTTTTCAATTTTATTTGGTCCAACGATAATTAGATGTTATGTTATTAAATATGTATCCAACACAAGATAACATTGTTAAATTTTAAAATATTGTATTTATTTAAAAGATATTCTTGATTATATAATTTATTTATAGTTATTCTATTCAATAAAAGAGAAATTTTGAAGGTACTAAACTTTAAAATACAAATTAAATGGTGTTTGAGGAGTAAGTGTTACAAATGATACTTTAAAGGAGTAGGTTTACACGTGGTATATTTTATGGGTGTAAAGTGTATTTAACCCATAATAATAACATAGTTTGCATTCAGCTTTGTAATTACTTTAGGGGTGTAAAGCGTATTTAATCCATACTAATACATACTTTGCATTCACCTTCATAATTATGAAATGCAATTTGAATATTACAATCTTTGTTTGCATCTGCATATGATGTTTGCTATTTTAAAATACGTTTTTGTTTGGATAATTCATGTGTTGTGTACTTTTATGTAACATTTTTATTTGCAGTTTGCATTTTCCAAGTCTTGTGCGCACTTGTATAAGTTGTTTGTTTTTTGATATTTGCAATAACATATTTTGGATAATTTCTTATTTCTGAATTATTTTGCTTTTCTTGCTCTTCTAACAGCCAAAGCCAAAAAAAGTGAAACGGTCACTGAATGACTATTCAACATCATTCAAAAGGTAGAAAAAAAAAATCAACTCCGACTGCAGTCAAGGCCCAACTGTTACATAAAGAAAAACCAATTCCACAATTTCGTTCAAACTAGGGAAAGCATTAATCTCCAACCGAACTTATATGTGTCACGATCACTATTGTCCAACCATATGTAAACATTGCTTCAAAAGCACTTGATTGATTATAAACCGTTTTCAACTGAATTTTGCAAGCACCTAGAGCCCTTGATTTGCCACACTTAATCCAACCGCTCCATCTGCAAAATACGTAAACCTCCGAATGCTTTAAGTCCACATAAAAGATGCATAAAGAATAAGAGAAAAGAAAGAACTAAATAAAATTCCATATCTGCTGTGTATTACAATGACAATCTTTGCTCGGTTGGTGTATTACAAAACAAAATGTAACTAGTTGGATATACTTCAGCAGATATGCAAATCATTATGAACATAAACCAATAATGGATGCTTTGTATTGTATCCAGAGAAGCCAAGGGAGAGGCGGGAAAAAGTTTACCTTCCAGAGGCCATCATTAAGATAGTGCATGGTATCCACACCAATTCCTTTGTTGATTGTCCGTCTGCAATTTAAGATAATAAATAACCGATTTGTTTCTTTGGAAAATATTGGCATCTTATGTGTTTAGAATCAGATATATACTTTTCATCATTTTGGTTGCTGAATCATCTATTGAACGAAAACAAGGAGCGATATCTTGCTCCCCCCATTTTCAAGTTCAAAGCAATAAAGTATGCACGGACTTTTAAAATTCTAAAAGCTACAAACACCATGAGTTGCAGACCAAAAGTATTAATGCTATGCCACAAGACAATCCCATTGATGGAGGGAACAAGGCATTTACACATCTCTTAATCTAGGAGAGGATAACTGATCGATAATCATGTTTCAAAAAAAGGAATATTAAATTGTGTTTGTTTGTAGAACATTGTCCACAACATAAACTAAGAATCAAGGAAAGGAAAGATTGGTAATATAGATATAACCCACTATTCTCATGTCTCCAATTGTAATGAATCAATAGCACTATACATAAACTGAAAGAGGTCCAGTAGAATATAGAGGAGGGGTTATTTTTGTGACACTGGCAGACTAGGGTTTCGTTTCAGTTATCTTCAGCCAGATTTTGAAATGTCGATGTTTATATCCATACAGATATTACAATGTGTGGATGGAGATTGATTTTGTTAAAACGGAGATACTTCCTTGCTAGAAACCAGGAAATATTCCATCAAAAAAAGAAAAACAAAAGAAAAAGATTCATGAGAACATTGCCTATAATTCACGGCATGGTTTAATAGAACTTTCTGCGGTTAATTGCTGCTAAGAAAAAAACATACAATATGCAGCGACTCTAATGAATGTATGTATATATTCAAATTTCAAAATATGATGCGTATGTAACTTCATGGAAGTCGGCTTATGAGTTAGGACACTAGACAACTGCTTAATTTTCACAAAAGGATGAAAAGTCATAAACACAAATGTTCAAAACTTATAACCAACTTACATATTTTTTGCCGACATTTTTGTAAATCCAATAGCTAGAGCATGTTGCTTCCCTTCAGCCATGATAGCCTGATAATTGTTAAAATGATTTACTCAACACTCATTTAAAGTTAACAGGGAATGAAATTGGTAAATCTAAGTGAGGATTTAACAAACCACTTATAAATTGTCTAAAAGAATGAGAAATTCATGAAATAGAGCAGAGAGTAACTTGCCACGGGAGTTTCTGCATCTACTTCGTCATCCAACACGCCACCAGGAGAAGTAAGCCCTGGGCACATTATATTGGCACCTGCAAGTACAAACTTTATTGCCCCTCTGTCAACTTGCAGCTTTTTCATGATGGTTGGATCTGCCAAAGGAAAAGTACGACTACAGTTGAAATTGTTGTCTAATTAGTGCATCAAACTTAACTCGTTTTCATGGGTTTCTGTGACAGGTGAAACGAAATTCATTTCTGTGAGGATATCCTTGATTTAATCTACATACAAACAGCTGACATAAGCAAATAAAGATTTGAAAGAAAGAAAACTATGTACAGATGTTGCAAAAAGCTGCTATTATGACCAAGGAGAGTGTGTTATTGAGCACAAATCCATCTTCTTATAAAATGGAGAGAGAGGGTAGGAGATCAGAATCTTAATTAACTGGAAGCTGATTAACAAGAAACTGGAAAAGAACCCAATGGGTTAGTGTTTGTGGGTCAAGATAGATTCGTTAACGATAAATCAGGGAAACCCACAAATTCATCAACAATGACAATGCAGCACAGCACCAATAAGGTAAGGTTAACCTTGACCTAGATTAAATATGATTCCAATCTTACTATGATCTAATTTGTAACACGTTGGAGATCCAGTCCAATTAAAAATATCCAAATAAGAAAAGGTTCAAATCTTCTGCGTCCAGTAAAGTTAATGCAGTCGGTCGAGAAAAAACAACATTGTAATAGAAATTTAGAGGGAAATACAATACGAATATATACAATGTTGAATAACCATCCAATCTAAAAGCCTAAGCTGCTATTGAGGTGAATCATTTAATATTTATATCTACAACATACAACACCTAACCAGACCTTAATCAGTCATTGACGATTAGCTTTTAAGTATTTCTCGCGTTTTTTCAGTTAGCAGATACTTTGGTACCTTTCAGCCAGTCATGGACAACAGAATGTTCTGGGTTTAGGATGCGCTTAAGGAACTATTTTTCTTCTAGGCCAATTAATTTATTCAATTAGGAACATGTGGGAAATGCAGAAATCCATAAAAAATATTCGAACAATTGTAGGTTTCTTACCATGAGTCTTATGATAATTGTAGACTTGTCAAGTTCCCAATGAAGACCAAGCAAAAGATTCACTGATTTGAGCTTTTTATTATATTTTGATTACCATTGTGAAATTATTATTATTTAGTCTTCTACAGTATTTTAGACTAGCATATATAAGTTTAGCAGAGTTAGAATGTCCTATGTACAGTTCCGCATTGCGATACTTACACTGATGAAGAAGCCGTAGTGTTGGCATATAAGGTCCATCACGTATGTTGAAGAAAAGCGGCACATTGTTCACCAGAACCAAATTCAGATGATTTTGACTTCAGAAAAAGCAAAAGGAGATGCATTATCAGGTCAGAAACAGAATCAAAGATGATAGAGTTCAATGATGTCACTATTATTTCAGTTAAAGGAAAAACCATTTTGCAACAACGAGCGGTGACTTTTTTGGCAATAAATCTTCCAACACGGGTTCGAGTCCTGGATACTGCAAGAAGAAGAACAGGCAGTTCATAGTAAAAGTACACCATAGTTTAAAACAACAAATAAACGGAAATATAAGTAAAGAGAAAAAAAGGCATCATATAAAAACCTCATCTGCAATACTTTGCCGGATTTTCCGTTGTACAGATGCCTTCACTTGATTTTGGGCAGAAACTTCTTCAGATGAGAACCTAAAATTTGGTTTCAGAACACTTGCATATAAGTTGAGTGCAATAAGAATACCAACAATTGTTGAGACGGTATAATCAAAAGGAATATATATGTGTGTGTGTTTGTGCATTGATGAACTATCACTCAAACGGAGGGGGGGGGTTGACATATGATATATTGATATTCATGCAATCGTCCAAAAGGGTCCAACCTAAAATGTCGAGGGCCTTAATGCAAATCATACAAGATGACTAAAACATTTCGAAGTGCTTATTGCATCTGCTGCTCTAATTCTTAAAGGGCAAATATCAGAAGCAAAAAGACACTGGGATACCATTTATCATCTTCAGATGAATAGAAACTAGTTCGTGAAAGTTGAGATTTCAGAAGCATAATATATTAGATAGCCAAAATGGAGCAGAAAAAAGGGCACGACCCAAAGAAACAGCCTACACGAGGAAACTAACAGCTCCAATTTATGTCAAGGGTGGAACCTTGTCAAAGCTTCCAGAAGTTAAATTAAAAGCTTCCACACAATCTTGAAGCACATACAAAAAGCCAGAGTGTGATAGTATTGAACAACAGTATTGAAGATCTCCCATTATCTTCAAAATTCAAACTAACCTTTAGCATTTGTCTATATTGTTTTGCATTATCTTCAAACTAACCTGATTCACGTATTCCTATAGTCGATTTGGCTATCAAAGTATATATATATTGGGAGCACCATGGAGTCCCATATAGTTGCTGCCATTGTTGTAGACGTCCAGCAGAGAAGATGCTGATTCACATATTCCTTAAATCGGGTTTGGCTATCAAAGTATGGAGATTTTCAATCGTAAACCTCATTTTCATCAATATTAGAGTTAGTACAGATTTGGAAAAAATGGATTAAGACTAGTTTGTTTTGGGGTTTGCTTCTATGGATTATGAGAATTAAGGAAAGCATGGTTTCGAGCTGTGTTTGACGGAAAATAGTCGAATCCCAGCCCAGATATTTGGTCATACTTACCATGAAAAATAGTCTATCAGCGTATAAGGAGAGTAACTGGCTTCTCAATATGTTTCAACTATTGCAAATATGTGGAGATTTTGCCCTAAATATGTTTCAACAATTGCAAAGTAAAACTCCTTTACCTCATAATCGATCCACTTAAACAAACCCCCAAAATACGTTACATCTCTTCAGCAACAGAACACACGAATCACCACCCCCACCCCCACACCCCAATAGAGAACAAAACAGTAATAAACACATTTACATATCAAATGAAAGCAGAAACGAACATCGCAGCAGAACTCGGAACGGTTAAATTGCTCCAAAAAATATAAATATTTCAATTAATGAAGAAACAAATTTGAGTAAAATAAGAATGTCGATGATTAATGAGAGTGTATGTAGGACTTACTTTTTGAACATGATGATGATTTCTGAGTGGATTTCTCAGTAGAAGGGAGGAAAATAGTTCCTTCTGAAATGAAATGGTTGTGCTGGCTGTTGTACCCAAAATAACTAGGTATTAATTCCACCTCCATCTCGGTTTTGTAATTGCCCTAATTATCATTTTTTCTTACTCAATACTTTTTGGGAATTATATAAAAGTCCCACTAAATTGCGTATTTAGATAGACGATTAAAGTACCTATGTTTGAAGGGTGGTTTGAGTCGTGCAATATACGGGGTAACTTTTTAAAAGTAAAAGAATAATTATTTAAAGCGTAAATTACAACCACCCCGGACCCCAGAGGTATGGTCGAATTATAAAAAGAAAACCTCTTGTTTTGGTAATTACAACCACCCCTCAACTATAAATCTTCTTACACGTTCACCATTGCGGTTTCAAATCTAGTAGAATCTTCGAGATTATACGGAATATTATCACTTTTATACCCGTTATATCCCATTCGAACTCTACATTTTGAAGCAACATGATCATAATATGTGTTTTTTGGCTTGTATATATCAAATTGTGGTGCATCAGAAACTATATTTTTACACAAAACGAGTACAAACTAGAGCATATTCCACGAAATCTAGATGATTATGTTGAATTTGACACAAAAAATGTGGATGTGTAAGAAAAAATCATAGTGAAGGAGTTATGTAATTATCCAAACAAGAGGGGTTTTTTCGTAAATTGACATACCTCAGGGGTGGTTGTAATTTACCCTTATTTAAATATATGACAACAAACATTATAATAACAAAATGTATTGGATTATTATAATAAAATACAGTAGAATCATGATAAAATAATAACCTCGTTTAAATAATAGTTTCATCTGGTCCCGACTCGATAAAAGTCTACTCAATTATCAGTTCGATAATTTATTATTTCACTAAATTATTAATAGAATTTTGCTCGTCCATATTCTATTAATTTATAAAGGTTTAATTGTATAGTAGTGGTATTTAAGTTACCATATTCATGATAATACATATCCACTATGAAAAATGTTATATAAACTTAATTGATATAAAATGAAATTGATCGTTACGGAATGAAGCAATTAATAAAGCAAAAGTGTAAATAAGATTCGACTATATGTGACAAGCTCAACCTCGTTTTAATTGACCTAATCTCACTTGCTTCAACCGCTAGGTCATCTCTTGCGGAATACCCTAATATTTCTTTCTTTTACATGTAAGTTATGTATGGTTAATGGGCTGGAGCTCTCTGATAAATAACTATTAATAGGATAAAACTAAAGATATAGCTGGCAATCGGGCCATGTAAGTCAAGCTTGGGTCTGCTCAAGTTCACATACCATCGGGCCTAGTTACTATACGTTCAAACTCACGTACCATCGGTCCTCGTTAGTATAGGCTCGAGCTCGACGCATGTATTTTTTTCGGGTTTTGAAGTTATAACGGCCCCAATTACTTTATAATTGTAATGAGTAATTTTTTTTATAAGAACAAATGATAAACAAGATTTACCTTCATTGAAGCCAATTCAAAAAAAGCCCTAAGTTATTGAAAAAACTTAAAAACAAGACTGAAGAGAAGTAAAACAAGATTAATAACTCTTATTATTGGAAACGTTTTGTATTCTCAAATTTCGGTAATAAATTTCAACAATTTGATTTCGATGGGTATGTTTCTTTGGATTCATATTTTACTCATTGCACTGCCACCGCTTAATTCCTTTTATTTTGATTTTTTTTTTGTAAAATAAAATAATCATATACGGTCGTAACTTGTATGTTGAGTAATAGCATTAAAATATAAAAATATTATATATTTTATTATTAACCTAATCGGTCGAGCCTTATTCGGGTTGAGCTATAGTAAGCTCAAACTCAACTCATAAATAAATCGAGTTTAGTAAAATGGCTCATAGTCGGTCCGGCTCACTAAAAAATAAAAAGTAGGCTCAACTCAAAATATAATCTGACCAAGTCATCGGGCTTCGGTTAGGGCTGCCTCAATTGCCAGTCCTAACTACAAACACCCAACTTAATTTGAAATTCTAATTTAATTCCAAATTTCACCAATTTTGCCCGTTGACTGATCATTGACGGCGTTGGCTTTAATCATTTTTCCCACTAATGTTATGTTGACGTGTTTCGGATTTTGGGTTCAATTTTTTATTTTAGTTTAAATTGTAATTTTTTTTCTCTTCCGACAATGTTGATGTATTGATCGGGATTAATACCGTGTTGAGAGATAAACACCAAGAATATTATTTTTCTTTTGGGGAAATTGTCTAGACACTCCTTATTCTAGATTTATATAGGTGGAGATTCAATTTATTAGACGAATATAGGTGTAGGTCCCTTGACTCAAAAAAATAATCTTACAAGTTATTAAACATAAATATCCTCAAACTATTAATTATTTTATATGTAATTAGTTATTTACGTAAAGAAGTGAGAAAACAAATCCCACGTCTTACTATCTTCCTTCCCCAAATTTCTCTCTCTGTCTCTCTCTCTCTCTCTCTGTGTATATGTGGGTGTATATATCTGTCTCTCTCCTCCCTCTTTTATTCTATTCTCACGAATGGTTTATCTCTCCTTTCTCCTTTCTTCTCTTCTCACGTATTTTTTTCTCTCTCTTTTCTCTTTTCACGATTTTTTTTTCTCTCTCTCACCTTTCTCCTCTCTACTCTTTAAGGTTCCCCCCCCCTCCACACCATACACCACCTTTATATTCTCTTTAAATTTTCCGATGGAATACATAGAGAAACGAAAGATAGTTTCTTTACATTATGAGATTATAATTGGTGAAATAGTTAAAAGCTGACAACAAAAAACTCATTGCTTACAAAAAGTTAGCTCTTTACTTCTCCCTCTTTGTATTAATTAGTGATTTTATAATTTTTGTTTGTGTTTTCTAATTGATTTTGCTCCAGCAAACAACAAAAAAAATTTACAATGGCAAAATAATTTGAAGCATAAAACAGAAAAGTGCAAATTGCAATCCATAACATTTGATTTTTTGCAAACTGCAAATTGCAATTTTAGACATTGGAAGATTTTGTTGTTGTTTTTTACATTTGCATTATGTTATTTTTTTTTTTTGATTAATGTTGTTATTGCGTTTGAATGTATATAGTTTGGATCATATATTCAATTTGTTTTTTTGAATTATATGAAGTAGTTTGTTGTTTGCATTTGGTCGATTCATAATCATAGGTAGTTTGTTGTTTGCACTTAAATAGTGCATATTATATTTTTCAGTTTACTGTTTGCAATTTGGTGAAATCATGGTGGAAGTTTTTTTGAGAGTCTGCGTTTTTGCATCAAATATGTTTTTTACGGCGTGGTTTTATTCTTTTAATTAAAATTGAGAGGAGATATGTTTTGGGGAATTTGATTTGATAGAGATATTTTGGACGATTTAATTTTATAAAGAGATTTTGGGGGATTTAATTTGGTAGAGATATTTTTGGGTGATTTGATTTGAATTGATTAAGGTTATTTTTGCCATAATAAATACAATTAGTTTATTAAAAAATAGGATTTTTGACTAGGATTTATTCACATAAAACCTAACATAGAGGGACCTATAGCAAATTGCCCATTTTCTTTTCCAGCAATGTTAGTGTTTACCAACGCAAGTGTAATAGATGTACAACGACACTATTTTGTTGTTTGATCACAACAACATTAAAAATAAATAAAAAAATTCCAGCAATATTGTTGTGCTTCCGGCCACTATTATATTGTTGACGGTCAATTATCTTGTTTATCATATAAAATGCCCTTACATAATGGATAAAGAGTAGACATGACCACATGTTCGTCCGATTCTAGTTTTGGGTCGGAATTGCCGGGTTTGGGTTAAGAAAACATGGAACTTAATTGGACCTTATGTAGGCCAATTAAAGGCCGGGTCCAACCATTCGGGTACAAAAAACTTGAATTTTCTTTAATAGTTTATTAATTTCTAATATTGTTTTTTTTTGTAAATTTAAATAAAAAGGGGCAAGAAACCGACATGTTACGTGGTTCGACCCGCCGGTTTAGACGGTTCAACTGGCCGATTCAGTACAAAAATAATTTTGACTGTTGATTTTCATCGTTTACCATTTACAACCACTAATTTTCCAAAAATTAAAATTAAAATACAAAACCAAGGGTAGAACTGACCATTTACGGTTCGGGAAATGGACTTAAGTAGCTCTTATACAATGTTTTCAGAACCGGACCGGCTATAGAACTGAACGACTATTTGGGTCATGGGTTTATAGGGTCGAATCGGTTCAACCGGGTTTTTGATTTTTTTAACATGCCATTATTTTATTAATTTTAATGTTTTAAAAATATTATTTTCTTTATATTTTTAATCTCTCACTTATTATTTTCACTTTTATATACTTCACCTCACTTTTTACTATATTTTATTGCTTATACTCTATATTTTTCCATTTTTTATTCTTCAAATCCGGCAATAGGCCACCCCTATTCGATCACCCATGATCATATCCGACAATCCTTCGACCACTCATGACTAGATCCAGCCACCCACTACTAAGTGTGTGGAATGTTCACTCAAATCTAGCCACAAATAACCAACTCAAGGGTACAACTACTGATCACCACTATTAAGAACCATTATTCGCAACCATTAAGAGTTGTAACTTATTACTTGTAAGTGATCATTCTTGTACTATATATATGATATCATTGTATTGAGTTTGATACACTTGAAGATATGGAATAATATATCTCTTGCCCCTATGTCATTATCTTCTTGTATACTATTTCCTAGTTTTATAATACGCAATCAACACGATTGTTCTAGTAAAGAAGATCCAAAGAGAATAACTTATCGGTCATAGAAGATGAAAAAGGAGTTGATGTCAAATATTTTAGGGTAAATAGCACTTAACCCCCTTGTGGTTTGGACATTTTGCACATGACCCCCTTATGTTATGAATTTAGGCACATAATCCCCTTGTGGTTTTGACATTTTGCAAATGACCCCATTATGGTATAAAATTAGCACATAACCCCCTTGTGGTTTTGAAATTTTGCACATAACCCCCTTATGGTATGAAATTAGCACATAACCCCCTTGAATAGAAAACTGGAAAAGACTAAATTACCCTTATCAAGTAAAAAATTCTTGTTTTAATTTAAAAATAATTATTCTATAAA